CCCTTAAAGGGTTCCTTAAGAGGACAAAGGAACCCTTAAAGGGTTCCTTAAAGGAGCCCTAAACCCTAAACCGCCTTTAAGGAACCCTTGAAGGGTTCCTTAAAGGTTGAAGGAACCCTTAAGGGTTCCTTAAAGGGTCAAGGAACCCTTAAAGGGTTCCTTGAAGGTTAAAGGAACCCTTAACGGGTTCCTTAAGAGGACAAAGGAACCCTCAAAAAGGGTTCTTTAAAGGAGCCCTAAACACTAAACCGCCTTTAAGGAACCCTTAAAGGGTTCCTTAAAGGTTGAAGGAACCCTTAAGGGTTCCTTAAAGGGTCAAGGAACCCTTAAAGGGTTCCTTGAAGGTTAAAGGAACCCTTAAAGGGTTCCTTAAGAGGACAAAGGAACCCTTAAAAAGGGTTCCTTGAGAGGACAAGCCGAATGAGCACGGAGAGACTCCTTTGGCTGTGGCTTCGGAGTCTGGGCTCTTGTTACGGGATTTAGGGTTTAGGGTTTAGGGTTCCTTTAAGGGTTTAGGTTTAGGGTTTAGGGTTTAGGGTTCCTTTAGGGGAATCCGGGTTTAGGGTTTAGGGTTCCTTTAAGGGTTTGGGTTCCTTTTAGGGTTTAGGTTTGGGGTTTAGGGTTCCTTTAAGGAATTTAGGGTTTAGGGTTCCTTTAAGGGTTTTAGGCTTTAGGGTTTAAGGTTCCTTTAAGGGTTTAGGTTTAGGGTTTAGGGTTTAGGGCATTATAGGGTTAAGGGATCTAGCAGGGTTGAGGGGTTTAATTTAAGCTACCATAATATTTTAGTTTAAATTAAGATAGAAGGTTAAGGGATTTAATTTAGAGTATGGTTATAGGTTTAAGGGACAAGATTTTAATCACCTCACCAGAATCGGGATATAGAAAATATTCTGGCTTCTTTATTTTGGTAACTTAAATCTTAATCCCTTAACAAGAACCCAGGATTCGTGCACGGAGGTGGCCGTGGTTCGCCTGTTGCTGGATGCTCGTGCTGATACGAACAAGGCCAATAAGAACCTGTGTAGCTGAAGGAGTACACTTTAAGCCTTTTTTGGATAATATGATCCCGTATAGAACTGAAAGTGAACACTTTATTGTGCTTATGAACTCAGCAACTAAGGAACGGCGAAACGCCTTTGCTCGTGGCCTCTCTACAGAACTGTATCCAGGTTGTGCGACTTCTGCTGGACGCATCTGCGGACCACGAGCAGTCTGACTGTAACGGTGATTGGTCCCTGCTCCTCGGGTCAGAAAGAGGCCACTCCGATGTAGTCCAGATGTTGCTGGAGGCGCGCGCCGACAAGGACCGAGCTGATCAAGGTGGTGAGACGCCCCTGACAGTGGCCTCTGCGCACTGCCGGGCCAATGTGGTTCGTCTCTTACTCGAGGCACGTGCGGACCAGGGGAAGTCAAATCGCGAGGGAAAGACTGCTTGGCACCTCGCTTCCATCCGGAACCACCGCGAAGTCTTGGCTTTGCTGAGTGAGGAGCCCTCTCCGAAGAGGCGCCGGGTCGAAGTGGCTCCAAAGCAGTGATGCATGGCGTGGATGGAGAGTTGACTTCGCAAGAAGCCATCATCCGCATTACCCGCACTCTTAATCACAAACCGTGCCTGAAATGTTTACGATCTTGCACGCATCGGCTGGCACTTCTGACATGAAACCATTGAGCAGCCTAGATATGCGACTAGACCCTCAGCCCAGATGCAGCAACTGTCAAAATGCTCGAGCCCAGCAACATGTGTTCTTTGACCTCGATGGTCAGCTTGGTGCAACCCCAAAGGGTCCTAAGTACCTCGAAAATTGGAAACGGTTTGGGGTTTAGGCGTTGGGTTTCTATAACAGGAATTGCTATTATTGGTTTGGGCAAGTATCCCCCATATAGTAGCCCCCCTTATAGTAACCCTTATCGAGCCTTGGAAGAGCCCTTTAAAGGACCCCCTGAAAGGAGAGCTCTTCAAGGGCCCCCCTGTTTTAAGATTTCTTGGGACCCTTCGGGAGCCCGTTCCCTCTGCCGCGTCCAGAGGTCCGGCTTCGTTCCTGTAGTATCCGCCACATGCGCAGATGCTGCACAGATTTAAGTAGTTCTCTAAGTTAGGGTCCCGTTTGGGGTCCTGTTTATGAGGGTGCCGTAGTATACTGGGGACCTAAAACGGGATCCTCCTTTAGAGGACTGGCCATTTGCAGGTTTAGGGTGAGGGTTCATCAATGTTCCCCCATGGAAAAAAGGAGGTATGCCTCCAGCAACAGTTTGTTTGCGACGGGTAGGGCCCGAATTTCAGACTTCTGCAGTCAGGTCCCGGGATTTCGCATCAAATCCAAATATCAGCCACATTAAAGGCTATGTTGGGTGATTTGGGGAATTAGCTGCCCCTGCTTCAAGTACTTTCGAGAGGTCGTGGGTTATGTATTCGGGGTTCCTGTAACTTTCGCATGCTCTCACTACTGTTGATGATATAAATCCTGCAATACCTCAAGGACCTTAAACTATGGGAATTATGGTATATTCCTTATTATGGGGTGCTGCAGGATTTCGATCATCCACCGTATCCCCACTACCGTGGAAGTCCAACTGTTGGGTAGACTCAATCCTGAAGAGTAATCTGGGTAGTTCTCTAAATAAGTCAGGGTGCCTTTTATAGGGGTCCCTTTTTAAAAGAGGGTTTAGGGTTTAGGGACCTTTCTGTTTTAAAAAAGGGTGCCGTACTATACTCATATTCGGGGCCTAAAAAAGGGACCCTAGTTTCGAGAACTACCCGTGCAGTGGGAATCCCCCAGCACTAGTTGTCCTGCATCCGGGTTTTTCGGGGTTAGGGGTTTAGGGGTTTAGGGTTTAGGGGTTTGGGGGTTCAGGGTTTAGGGTTTAGTCTACTCCCAAAATCCAAATCCTTGCCCTCAACCCTCGTCCCCAACCCTGCTCCCTTAACCTAAGAAGTCTTATGCTAGGTTTCGAGTTGGGATACGCTTTCATTAGCCCTTATTTTTTGAGATAGAGCCCTCCCTATTATAATTTTGGGGACTGTTGGGATCGACACGTAGTATAGCTATGCGACGATCGAGCCTCTGAGTGCCTCGAAGCCAAGCCCCCCGAAGCATGGCGTGGTAAAGGTCCGAGTTGCTCCCAGTCAGCACTTCACCCTAGTAATGACCGCATCACCTTCAGATATGATTCGGGATACACGCTTCTGTGCAAGACCTCTGTATCCACGCCTTGCTAAAGCCCTGATGCTCATTAGTCGTTGCACCTTTGACTGCTGTCAATTTTGCACTGAGCCCTAAGCCCTAAAGCCTATAATGCCTAAAACCCTAAACCCTGAATCCAACGCCCTAGACCCCAAAGCTACAAGCCAGAGACGCGCAGGTTCGCTTCGTCGTCCAGCCAGCAAGGCTCTTGGCGGCTCTGGTGGCTGCCTCGGGCAAGGACTTGGGGGCCCTTTCATCCGTAGAGTTTGGGCTCTAGGGCTTAGGGGTTTGGGGTTTACTAAACCCTATAACCCCTAAATTAGGGTCAGCAGATTATTCTAGTATATTTAGGTGGGGTGGGCTTAAGGTTTAACCCTAAGATCATATTAAACCAGCGTGCTGGTGCAGTAGGAGACATGCTCGCGGGTTCTGTGAATTGTTCTTGTTTTCCCGGAGCGCACGCTGAAGGAGTGCCAAATTTGGTAGGCGCGGACAACAAAGTGAGACGCTTTACTCCGTTTGTGACAGCATAAAAAGATGTAATCCAGTGGAGGGAGTTGAAAGTTGTGCGGATTTGGTGGCCCCCGCTTCGGGACTTGTGCTTCCTTTCAGGCTTTCATGTTGAGGATGGTTGGCTTCAGGGTTCGGGGCTTTGCAGAAGTGAAGACGATGTGACTGCTCCATAGTGCGGGGTTTCGTGGTGGGGGGGGGGTGGGTCCAGCAACTTCCTGTTCTGGAGCTCCTACACCCTAAACCCCTAAACCCTTAAACCCTAAAACCCTTAAACCCCAAACCCTACACCCTAAACCCTAAACCTCTAAATTTTTAAACCCCAAACCCTACACCCTAAACCCACGCAATTTCCTGAAGCTCCTAGGACATGTGTATGACGGCAGGGGCCCGAACTCACCTGGCACAGCCCCCCAAGACCCCAAACCTTGAACCCTAAGCCGCAGATGCCCTATGTCCTACCTAAACCCCCAAAAAGTAGGTCAAATAATGGCCCACCACCTACAAAGGCTATTATTTTACATACTTTTGGGGTTCAGGCAAGCCCTGGACAGGATTCGGGGGTTTAGGACGCCTCAAGCCCCTGAACCCTCAAACCGCAGCACTGGCTCGTCCTGAGACGACGGAGGTTGCAACTTGGCGAACTCGTCGAATGCAGCCGAAGCCCAAGATGTCTGGCTGAGAGGGCTCCCGCGGCTTAGGCTGCTGGGAGGGGTTTGGGGTTTTGGGTGCTTGGGGTTTGGGGTTTGGGGTGGTTTGATGAAGGTCTGAAGACAAGTTTGGGGCGAGAGTCGAGGGTTGTAGGGCCTAGGGGTCTCAATAATCAGAACAGGATTTTGGGGGTGTATTGTATGACAATTATAATAAGGAACCCCCAAAATAATATACAGGAGGTAATTAACTATTAAGGCCCCTATATTAATAGGGATTACGAAAGAACACAGTGTGGGGATTTGTGCTCTTCGAGAGTAGTATGACAGTCTGCGGCGTGGTTTGGAGACTCTTTTGGAGCTGCGATGGCAGGGACCGCTTTACAGGGCTTTCATAGGGCTTTCATAGGGCTTTGGGTTTGGTAGGCTTAAAACCTGAAAGGGCTTCGTATGGCTTATATGGCTCTGTTTTCTTGGGTTTTGGGGGGTTGAGGGGGTTTAAATTCTAAAGTTCTGAACCCTAAAAACCCTAAACCCTAAACCCTAAGACTTAGAAACCCTAAACCCTGGTTTAAGTACTGAGAAATCGAAGGTCTCGGGAAGCTGAGCTCGAAGCCTGGAAGTCCACCTGCAGGGCTCGGCCAACTTAGCCATACTCCTGTTTCCTTGGGTGTTCCCTGGCGAACTTAACGTTTACTTCAAGGGGGTTTAGGGGTTAGGGTCTAGGGAGGCATCAACCTTCATGATACGTTGTATAGCTTCTCAGGGCTTTCTTGATCCGACGTGAAGCTTTGTCACCGTGGGAAAGGAGGGCACGCCATGGCCTTGGAAGTCCGAGAGGATGGGGCTTTGAGCTCTGATGCGCCGCCCATGGCCCGATTGCAAGCTGCAAACTGAACGAAGCATAGCACGGTTTACGGTTTAAGCCCCTAAACCCCTACGCCCCTAACCCCTAAACCCCTAAACCCCGAAACTCCAAAACCCTAAACCTCAAAGCCCTAAAGCCCTAACACCCTGGTTTCAATGCACGTAGGGCCTCGTGACTGCCGCTGAATCTGAAGAGACCTCATCTGACTGGTTCTTCGCGGGTTTAGGGTTTAGGGTTTGGGGAAGGAATGGAGGAATGTGTCTGTCATTCCTCCCCCACTCCCTTAAGGAATCTACCTTAAGGTTCTAGAAGCTTTCCTTTAAGGGTTCTGTAAGGATTCCTTTAAGGGTTCTTAGTAGGGAATGGGGGAATGGGTTTTGGGGACTACTATAGGGGACCTCAAGGGACTATCATAGGGATCCATTCCCCCATTCCCTACTAAGAACCAGGGAGTCATTCAGGAATACACCTTAACCTACTGTTGGTGATATAAATCCTTAGCAGTACCTGAAGGACCCTCTAAACTATGGGAATTATGGCATGTTCCTCATGATGGGTACTGCAGGATTTGTATCATCAACCCTACCTTACAGCAATACGGATGTTTAGAAAAGCCTCTTATCGTCTCCTTGTTGGAACATCCTGAATATGTGATCTAAGGTCTACTCCTGAATCATTTGGTTTTGGAGTCTCCAACTCTAAAACCCCAAACCCTAAACTCCAGGACCGGGACTGCCGACGACCGCTGTCAATTTATCCTAAACCCTAAAGCTGCGAACCAAACCCCGAAGCTCCGACACCTCAACCCCCAAACCACAAGGCCCCTAAACACCCCACTGAAATCCCTACGCCTTCTGCCAGGGTTGCAGACCTGCTACTAGATCCTTCAAGGTGTAGCATGCAGGGCTTACCTAAACCCCCAAAGGTAGGTAAAATAATGGCCCAAGACGCATAAAAGGCTGTTATTTCACAGACTTTTGGGGTCCAGGGTGGGCCTGGGATGTCGGAGCCTTGCTACCTCCCACCCAAAATGCCCCGAAGCCCCCACATCCGATGCCCTGCAAGCCCTTACATAGACCCTACTGGGTTCTTGTTAAAGGATTTAGTTTAAGTTACCACCATCGGGATCTATATTCAATAATGTGGTTTCCTTGTTATGGTATCTTAAATTAAATCCCCTAACAAGAACCCAGCCTAAGCCTCGCGCACCCAGAGAGTTGAGTTTACGTCGCCATAACATGGCAAACCCTTTCATGTGCCACGTATCTCGATTATGGTCTGTACAACTTCAGCAATATAGCACCGTAAAGAAGCCGCCTAAATTT